TGGTCCTTAAGATGGTAAACCAGGGTGGGGAAAAGGACTTGAAATAATGCTATATAAACTATGTGATGAAAGTAATACAGTTGTTTGGGGAAACTATATTATTTTAATACCACCAAGGTAACATTTATCATACTATAAGAAATAAAGCAGCTTCCAAATATGTTAAAAATATGAACAGGGGAGAAAGGCACCTACACGCACCTACTCAGCAAATTGGGCTCAGTGTGTGTAAAGTTCAAAGATAAACAGTTGTAAAAGCTGTTGGTCAAGGGTCACCATGCCTATTTTTTTTTTTTTATAATTTTTATTTATTTTCCCCCAAAGCCCCAGTAGGTAGTTGTACATCATAGTTTCACATCCTTCTAGTTGCTGTGTGTGGGACGCGGCCTCAGCATGGCCGGAGAAGCGGTGCGTCGGTGTGCGCCCGGGATCTGAACCCGGGCCGCCAGCAGCGGAGTGCGCGCACTTAACCGCTAAGCCACGGGGCCGGCCCCACCATGCCTATTAAATGACAAGCTGCTAAAGGTTACTATAGGGCATACACTTTGCTGGAAACTGTTCATTTAAAAACTAGATGCTCCAATAAATCACTTCTGTTAGGAACCTTGAGAAAGGCTGGGAAAACGCATAAAGCACAGATCAATCTTTCCTTTAGGTTTTAGTTTAGATTGCTGGACATGAAAATATGTGAAAATATTTCACCTTTTAGCTTGTATTTTATGAGTGAAGTAGAACTTAAGAGTTCCCCAGATGTTATACAGAACTATATAAATTGGGTGCATGTCATTATTTCTAAATACCCATAGAATTTTGTACCTAGTCAGCAACATTTTTATGTTTCTTGGGAATTCCTATAACTATACAATTATATATCAAAACAATTTTCCTCGTTTCTTAAGAGAATTCTCTTCAAATTTATTAAGAAAGTGTTAATATTTCTAGCACTGGTTATATTAAAAACAGACACTCCTGGAGGAAATTTTAGCTCAAAAGGTCTCATTCTCATGACTTTAAACTGCATTTAAGAAGAAACATAAAAGATACATTGTTAAAATTTCTAGTACATTTTTGATCTCTTTACAGCACATAGCACTATCTTGTTATAGAGTTAAGTGTATTCTTGTTATATCTTCTTCAAGGGTGTAAGGGGCTCGTAGTTTCCTTGTTTTGTTATCTTTCTATCCCCTCTACAGCAGCATTTCACAAAGTATGTTCCTTGATGTTAACGGTTTTAGGAGGAATGAAGAGTCTCTATTCATATAAGCATAGGCAATCTGGGTTAATAAAATTTAAACAATTTTTAAAATTTAATATCCTATAACTCTTAAAGATTTGGATAAGTTCTGATTCAAACCCTAGATATGTTTGATTGCCTACTAAAGTATTTTGCCATTGCCACAATAAAGACACAGAATATTTCCTCCACTCCACAAAGACCCTTTGTGCTCTGAGCCATCATTCCCATCCTCCACCCGAAAAGCAGGTGATCATTGCTTCGCTTTCTGTAAATACAAAATAGTTTTGCCAATTTTAGAATGTTATACTAATGGAATTATATCCTCTTTGGTATCTGTCTTCCTTCACTCATTAAAGTGTTTTTGATGTACATGTTATTAATAAAAATAAGACATTCCCTTTTATTGTCCAGTACTATTCTATTGGGTAAATAGAGCACAATTTGTTGATCCATTCTGTTAGTGGGCATTTGGGTTGGTTTCAGTTTAGGCTGTTAAGTATAAAGCTACTATGTACAAGTCTTCTTTGACATGTTTTTGTTTCTTTTTGGTAAATACCAAGGGGTAGAATTGTTGAGTCACTTGTTAAATATATGTTTAACTTTTGAGAAACTTCCAAATCATTTTCCATTAGTACCAGCAACATGTGAGATTTCCTGTGCCACATCCTCATTAGCACTTAGTGTTACTTGTCTTTTTAATTTTAGCCATTCTATCATGTGTGAATATTTTATTACAGAAATTCTATTTTTCAGTTATAGAATTGCCATTTAAAATGGAAATAAAAATTTTATTGTTTTTACTTCTCTTTTAATACTTATTATTTCTCATTCATTGAAAACATGTTTTTATTAATGTGTTAAATATGTATAAAGGCTGCTTTAAAATTTTTGTCTGTTAGTTGAGACATCTGGTTCATCTCAGGATCAGACTTTATTTTCTTTTCTTCTAGGAATGTGTTCTATTTTCCTGATTCTTCTTATGTCTATTAACCCTGGATTATATCCTAGGTATTATGAACATTACCTTAAGGAGATTCTGGATTCCGTTAGATTTCTCTGATGAATACTGTTTCATATACTTTAGCATATAGTTTTCTTGGCTGAGTTTGAGCTGCAAAGTCTATTCCTAAAGAGACAGTTCAGGTCTTAGCTCAGATCTTTTGTCTTTAGCTAAGATGTTTTCAGGCCATCCTATACATGTGGTTTCAGGGGTCAGTCAGAAATGTGGGTGGAAATATTTGGGTAATCCCCTTCTCTAGCTCTTTCTCTTATGAGATGCTCCCTATCTCTTCAGCATTCAATGTTTCCCCTCACATTTCAGGTGTCCCTGGACAGGAAGACTGTGGGTGTTCTCCATGTTTGCTGCCCCACTGCCCCTGGGGGTGCCATAGAGACTGTACTTTGCCCAAGGTTAAAAGCAAAAGAACCTTTACAGCTGTAGGGGAGCAGAATTTGGCACCTCAACTTGGGTGTCTTTGGCATGAGGATTATTTTGGGCTGATTATTTTTAAGACACTACAGACTTGGGAGAAACTCTGAAAACCAAATAGAAGTTACCCTTTGTAAGAGATGTTTACATTTGTGAGCGAAATCTCCATCTGTAAAGGTGTCTCCCTCTCTGTACCAGGAAGAGGAGGATGACCTTATCTCTAGAAACCTTATCAACATGAATTAAATCCGCATAATAACCTTACTCTCATTTACTGTGCTTTTTCTGGTACTCTCCCATAACTGACTCCCTCTACCCCCAACATCCTCCTTTGTCTTTAGCCGAAGGTGGTATTTAAGGTGGCAGCTTTGGCCATTCTGGCTGAGTTACTCAGTTTTCCTGGGTGTCTCCCATGCATACATGTTATAAAGCTTTGTTTAATTTTCTCCTGTTACTCTGTCTCATTTCAATTAAATTCTTAGACCAGTGAGAAGGACCTAGAGGGTAGAGGAATTGTCTTCCTGCCTTAGGTAGCTCCCAGTCTCCAGTCCTTTCAGAAAGTGTGTGTTACTCACCAGAGTCTTTCTGCTGCTGGTCACTCTTGGGTATCTTCAAGTAACTGTTTGTATATCACGTCCAAGGTTTTCAGTTGCGTTTTGCAGGGGGTTATCTGGTAGGGACTTATTTTGTCATATTTACTAGCAAACATTCATCCATGTTTTATCTTATATTTTCACACACGTGGCATCGTTTAATGAACAGATTTTCTTAATTTGAATAGAGAACAATGTATCAATTTTTTACTTTGTGATTATTGCTTATTGTGCTCTACTTACCTAATCCAGGGAATTGAGATTTCCTTCCATATTTCCTATACTTTCCTCTAAAAGATTCAGTGTTTTCACTTTCTCATTTAGAAGTACAATTAACCAGAAATGATTTTTATATGTAGTGTGGGTTGTTGAACAGAATTTTTTACCAGTGAAAATATTTTGATATTCATTTGAATTTTTTTTATTTTAATATAGTTAAGTAGGGGCCGGCCCCGTGGCATAGCAGTTAAGTGTGCGTACTCCGCTGCTGGCGGCCGGGGTGCAGATCCCGGGCGCGCGCACTAGTGCACCGCTTGTCAAGCTGTGCTGTGGTGGCGTCCCACATAAAGTGGAGGAAGATGGGCACGGATGTTAGCCCAGCGCCAGTCTTCCTCAGCAAAAAGGAGGAGGATTGGCATGGATGTTAGCTCAGGGCTGATCTTCCCCACAAAAAAGAAAAAAAAAAAAGTTAAGTAGTTACAGTTCAATGTAGCTACGTACCTACAGAGAAAAAAATTCTAAATAAATGCTAGCCATACACCTATAATTTTAAAATTTCATTTATAATTAGAACTAACTCAGATATCTTCACATTAGAAACAAGAATCAAAAATCAGTTGTCACCAATTAATCGGTCTCTAAGTGCAAGTACACTACGTTGGACTATTAAAATGACATTGACAAAAATGTTTTGATCATATTAACTTTTCTCAAGCAACTAAATTAAGTTTCTTAAGTCAAGCATGTAATTAGAATTCCTTCCTCTCTGATATATATACTTTACACATTAAGTATGCTTGAAATAGTTTCTATTTAACGAATTAAAATAGAAGAGTAATCTTTGGTCCCACCTCTTTATGAATGAAGCTCTAAGCATTTAAAAATTTAGCAACCTTTGTAGACATATTCACTCACTGTATCTTAAAATAAATAAAATTATATTAAGTCCACAAGCCTAAGATATATTTTTAAAACATGCTATAGACTGTATTGTCACTTTAATTACCTTTTTAGATATCTTTTTCTGTGTACAACAGAAAAAGGTGAAAAGAAACAAGTGAAAATAAATAGCTGAGAAATAGAACTAATGATCAGAAAGTTACAAAGACAGTAATCATAGACGTGTTACAAAGAATAAACAAAAACACGATTTCCCAGGTAAAATTTAAACAATATTCATCACTATTTCTATAAAAATCTTAGGTTTGTAAAATATTATTTTCCATAACACTTTACATGTACATGATATGCACAGTGATATTCTTGGCACCACCTGTATTTAACTTGAAGCTTTCTATAAGTAGATTTCCTGTCTTACTCATCCCTCTACGTGAGGACTCCACAGGGTCAGCCTTCTCTTTTTGGACAAAACAGTCCATTATCTGGGAAAAGCTCAGGATTTTCGCAGTGTCCAGCATTCCAGCCTCTTCGGGAGTAGGTCATTGTTTGGCACAGACATTCTCGCACCCAGCCCGGGGATGGTCTGATGTACAGGAGCCGGTTTCGGGTAAGCTGACTTCGGATGATTACCGCTAATGAGATCCCTGATTTCATTAACGATTTACAGCGCACGCCTCGGGGTCTGCGGGTGGCACAGCGGCTGGTCTCCCTTTGCCCCTGTGCCCTTGACCTTTGCCCCCAGACCTTCAGTCAGTACATGCAGGACCCGGCGCCTAGTGGAGCTGTCGAGCGGCGTGCTGCACTTCCTGGCCCCCGCGGTGTCCTCCAACAGCTCTGCAGCCTCTCCTGGCCCCTCCCCAAGTTTGCCCAGGTGGGGACAGACGGCCGCTTCCTGCCCTTCCCTGGAACCCCGGAGCACCTGGCCTGGCCGAAGACAGCTGTGTTCAGCATCCAGCTTCTGCAGATGGGGCCTCTGCCCTCGGGACTCCGTGGTCGTTCATCGTGCATCCCAGATTCCCAGCGCTCCCCAGATGCAGCGTGCCCTCCAGTCCCGGGTGGAGAACGTGCTCCACAGAACACACCACAGGTGGAGAGCAAGAGGCCCTCCCCCGGCCGGGAGCAGGGCCCTTGGTTGCCCAGATCCGGTGGGACGACGTCATTGTCTGTGCATCAACCACAGGCTGAGGCACTGGATGCCCCCCGGGCTGCCCGTCATGTCAGAGACACCAAGTGAAGATGGTCAGATACGTGTATTTAAAAAAAAAAAAAATTGAAAACATATGATGTTCCTTTGTCGTGAGAGCAAGCCAGAATGCCGACATGGAAGGAATTATAGCTGACTCAGGAGAATTTGGGGATAAAGTCTTCATCCTTCTGCAAACAGTGTTCCCACTCTATTTCATCACGGGCACCGTAGGGAAGAGGAGTGTGGAGGGAGACAGAGCAGAGGATTCCCTGCCCAGTGTCCGTCCAGCAGTCTGCTGCTGGAGAAAAAGGAGAGCCAGAGGTTTGAAGATGAACTTCAGCAATGGTTGTCTGAAGACTCAAGAGCATTTACAGATTCAACGTCCATTCCCCTCTACCTTCCTGAGACTCGGGTGTCTGCCTCAGACCATAGAACCTGTGATGAAGACATCTGCAACCAACAGCCCTCAGAATGAAAGGTCAGGGGAGCAGCCACAACTGTCAGAGGCAGCAGGCGCATCTCTGACCAAACCCGAAGCACCTGGAAAGGCTGACCCCTTAAGTTCAAGGGAAGAAGAAGTTGCCTCTGAGCTCCATCTCTCTAATCTGCTGGAGGTGGTAGACATTTGAGCTCCCTGACCTGAGAGAAGGAGGGTCTCACCGGAAGATTTTCTGCATTTACTAAAAATAATATTATTCTCAGCGCTTGATGAACTGTTGGAAATGTGCTTATTAATCATGCAAATAAACCATCTGAATGTCAAAAAAAAAAAAAAGACGGACATTTTATAACAATAAAGGGGTCAACTCTTCAAGAAGACATAACAGTCCATAATGTATATGCATCTACCAACAGAGCATCAAAATATGTGAACGAAAAAACTGACAGAACTGTAAGGAGAAATAGATAAACCCGCTATTATAGTTGGATATTTCAACACACTGCTGTCAGTAATTGACAGATAAAGCAGACACAAAATTGGTAGTATAGTGGAACAGCACCATCAATCAACTGGATTTCATCAACAACAACAGATTGCACATATTTTCTGAGTTCACATGGAATGTTCATAAAGATAGACAATATTCTGTGGCATAAAACATACCTTAACAAATATAAAATAATAGAAATCACACAAAGTAGGCTCTCATAACACAATTGTATTAAGCTAGAAGTTAATGTCCGAAAGATGGCTGGAAAACTTAAGATGCCATGGATCAAACAACACACTTCTAAATAATACATGGGTCAGAGAAGAAGTCTCAAGAGAAATTAAAAATATTTCAAACTAAGTAAGTAAAATAACATTTTCCAATTTCAAATTGAAATTTGAATTTGAAATTAAAACATCAAAATTTGTGGGATGCAGCAAAGTGATACCATAGAAGGAAACTTATAGCATTGGATGTATTTATCAGAAAGAAGATAGAGATAAAATCAGTAAGCTAAGCTTCCACTGTATGAAACTAGAGAAAGAAGAGGAATACAATCTAAAGAGTGTAGAAGAGAAGAAATAAAAATTAGAGCAGAAATGAATGAAATTGAAAACAGGAAAAATTATAGAAAATCAATGTAATTGAAACCTAGTTCTTTGAAAGGATCAGTGAAATGGTCATCCTCTAATCAGGCTAAACAAGAAAAAAAGAGAGAAGATAAAAGTTACTAATATGAGAAATTAAATCAGGGCCATCACTAATGATCCCACAGACATTAAAAGAATAGAAAAGGAATATTATGAACAAGTCTATGACATAAAGTTTGATAAATGAAATGTATCAATTACTTGAAAGATACAATCTAACTAATTTCCCACAAAGAGATGTAGGTCATCTGCATAGGACAATATCTCTTAAAGAAATTGAATCAATAAGAACTTTATAATGAGCATCGGGTCTAGATAGTTTCATTGGTGAATTCCACCAAATATGTGAAGGAAAAATAATAGTATTTCTCAACAATCTCAGAAAATAGAACGTAGAAGCAAAATCCTCAATGTAACATTAACAATTTGAATCCAACAATGTATAAGAGAATTATATACTACAACCAAGTGGGCTTTATTTCCTGTGTGAAAGAGTGGTTCAAAATGTGAAAATCAATTAAAGTAATCTATCATATCAACAGGCTAAAGAAGAAAAAAATCATATGATCCTATCAATTGATGCAGAAAAAGCATTTGATAAAATCCAACACTTAATTCATCATAAAAATTATCTGAAAACTAGAATTATCTTAATTTTTTTTTTTTTTGGTGAGGAAGATTAGCCCTGAGCAAACATCTGTTGCCAATCTTCCTTTTTTGCTTCAGAAAGACAGTCCGTGAGCTAACATCTGTGTCAATCTTCCTCCACTTTGTATATGGGACACTGCCACAGCTAGGCTTGATGAGCAGTGTGCAGGTCAGCTCCTGGGATCTGAACCTGTGAATCCTGGGCCGCTGAAGCGGAGTGCGCGAACTTAACCACTACACCACAGGGCTGGCCTTGGAACTTTCTCAATTTGATAAAGAATATCTGCAAAAAATCTGCAGCTTACATCATACATAATTGTGAGAAACAGGAAGCTTTCTGCCTAAGATCAAGGACAAAGCAAAGACGTCGCATCTCATCACTACTATTCAACGTCATATTTGAAGTCTTAGATGGTGCAATAAAAGTAAACAAGTAAAGGAAATAAAGATGTACAGGTAGGATTGAAGAACATGATTGTCTATGTTAAAAATAATTTAACAAATCAACCAAAAAACTCATAGAAATAAGTGATTATAGCTTAGGTTCAGATTATAGATTATAGTTTCAGGATATAAGGTTAATATACAAAAGTCAATTTCTTCCCCATATACCAGCCATGAACAATTGGAACTTGAAATTACAAACACAAACACAATACCATTTACATTAGCACCGAAAAAAGGGATGTACTTAGAAATAAACCTAACAAAATATGTGCAAGGTTTATATGAGGAAAACTATAAAACTCTGATGAAAAAAAAAATCAAAGAAGAACTAAATAAATGGAGAGATATTCCATGTCCATTGGTGGAAAGACTCAAGACTGTCAAGATGTTGGCTATTCCCAACTTAATCTATAGATTCACCGCAATCCCAACAAAACCCTGGCAATTTATTTTGCAGATATTAACAAACTGATTCTAAATTTTATATGGAGAAGAAAAAAGACACAGAAAAGACAACAAAATATTGAGGGAGAAGAACAAAGTTCGAGACTGACATTACTCCACTTTAAGATTTACTGTAAAGCTGCAGTGATGAAGATGCTGTGGTAATGGCAAAGCAATAGATAAGTAGATCAATGGAGCCCAGTAGAATAGAGAGCCCAGAAACAGACCCACACAAATAGAGTCAACTGGTCTTTGACAAAGAGCAAGGGCACCCGATGGAGAAAAGATGGTCTTTTCAACAAATGCTGCTGGAAAAACTGGACACCCACAATCAAACAAGTGAATTGAAACACAAACTTACACCTTTCACAAAAATTTACTTAAAAGGATCATAGATCTAAATGTAAAATACAAAATTATACAAATTGCAGGAGATAACATTGAAGAAAATCTAGGTGACTTTGGATCTGGCGATGACTTTTTATATATAACACCAAAAGCATGATTCATTAAAGAAAACATTAATATGTTAGATTACATTAAAATTTGGAACTTCTGCTCTGTGACAGATACTGTTAAGTGGATGAAAAGACAAGCCACAGACTGGGAGAAAATATTTGTAAAACATATGTCTGATAAAGGACTTCTATTCAAGATATATAAAGAAATCTTGAAACTCAATAATAACAAAACACACATCCCAATTAAAAAATGGGAAAAGATCTGTACAGGTGCCTCATCAAAGAACGTATACAGATGGCAGATAAGCATATGAAGAAATGCTCAACATCGTATATATTAAGGGAATTGCAAATTGAAACAGCAATGGATACCATTACACATCTATTAGAATGACCAAAATCTAAAACACCAACACTACCAAATGCTGGGGAGGATGTGGAGCAAAAAGAACTCTTACTCATTGCCGATGGGAATACAAAAGAGTACAGCCACTCTGGAAGATAGTGTGACAGTTTCTAACAAAACTAAATGTATTCTGGGGCCAGCCCGGTGGCATAGTGGTTAAGTTGGCGCACTCCGCTTCGGCAGCCTGGGGTTTGCAGGTTTGGATTCTGGCACGCACCAATGCACCGCTTGTCAAGCCATGCTGTGGTGGTGTCCAATATAAAGTAGAGAAAGATGGGCAAAGATGTTAGCCCAGGGCTAATCTTCCTCCCCACCAAAAAAAAAAACAAAAAAACTAAGTATATTCTTACATATGTTCCAGTGATTGTGCTCCTTGATATTTACCCAAATAAGCTGAAAACTTACATCCATACAAAAATCTGCTCGTGAATATGTATAGCATCTTTATCCAAATTGTTAAAAATTAGAAACAACCAATATATCCTTCAGTAGGTGTATTGGTAAATAAATTGCAGTACGTCCATACAATGAAGTATTATTCAGTGATAAAAAGAAACAAACCATCAATCATGAAAAGACAGGGAACAAACTTAAATGCTTATTACTACTAAGAGAAAGAAAATTTGAAAAGGCTAATACAATATGATTTCCACTACATGGAATTCTGGAAATGTACAAACTATAGTGACAATAAAATATCAGTGATTTTCAAGGGTTTATGGGGAGGGAGGGGAAGCAAAAATTTTAGTCTGATAGCTTCTATTGTTGCTGATGAGAGGACACATTCAAGCTCTTGTTGTCTTTTTTCAGGTATTTTTTGTTTTGTCCCCTCTTTTTATGATTATTCTTTTTTTGGTGAGGAAGATTAACCCTGAGCTAACATAGGTTGCCAATCCTCCTCTTTTTGCTGAGGAAGATTGGCTCTGGGCTAACATCTGTGCTCATCTTCCTCTACTTTATATGGGACGCCACCACAGCATGGCTTGACAAGCGGTGCACTGGTGCATGCCCAAGACCCGAACCTACGAACCCCGGGCTGCTGATGTGGAGCGGGCGCACTTAACCGCTAGGCCACCGGGTCGGTCCCTTGATTATTCTTAACATCTTCTCTTTGTCTTTGGGGTTTAATGTTCCTATGTAATATGACTAGTTTTTATTTTTTCTGTAGTTATGTCATTTGGAATTCAGATATCCTGAATGTGAGTATTCACACTTACTAGAGTTTCCAGAAATTTCTCAACCATTCTTTCTCTGAATTCTCTCCTCCAGTCATTCTCATCTCCCTTTCAAAAGCTCCAATTTGAAAGTTATATTTCTTCCTTTATTGTCTGTTTCTCTTAACTTGTCTTTCACATTTTCAACCTTTTGTCTCTTTTCTGCCATCTTGAAAAAAATTTTCAGATATACGTTGTATTTCTTTACTTCTTTCTTCATCTAGGTATAAACTGTTGTTATGTGTATTGACTTTCCATTTTTAGTTTTCAAGTCTTGATTTCAAGTTGGTTATTTTTTATAAATGTTTCATCATTTTGATATCCTTTTGCTCTTTAATCTTATTTTTAATAACCTCTTTAGTTCGCTTTCTTGTGTGTCTTGTGATTTTCTTTTTAACTCTAATGTTACCTTTCTTACATTTTCTTA